TCTATCTATCCATCCATCCATCTATCTATCCCTCTATCTATCTATCTTATGTTCCAAATCTCATCAAACATTATTTAATTAATTAATTAGTTGATTAATCAAGTGCCCCAGGACGAGGGGAGGATTTGAGGCAGTGCTCAGCCTCACCTTGGGCAGCTGAGGACACCTCCTTGCTGGCACTGGCTGCTGGCACGGGCTGCAGCTTCCTCCACCCACAGATCTCAGTTTTCTTTGGCCTCATTGTCAGAAATTCATTCCTTGTTCTACATGCAAATCCTCCAAAGGGTTCTCAGGATGCTAAGCAGGAATTCAGAAAGAACAACAGAAAGAAGTAAGAGGGGATTTTTTTTTGTTGGTTTGTTGTTTTTTGGGGGTTTTTTTTGCTTTAATTTGAAAAATAACTGAGCTTGAAACTGCTGTTTGTTTCCCTCTGCGGACAGGAGAGAAGCCTCCTGCCAACCTCATGTCACAGGCCTGCACCACATTTCACAGGGGGATCTGTGATTGACTCTCACGAGGGACTGAGAAGGAAAAATGTGCTCCGGTGAGTAAATTATTGCACAACATCCCCCACATCTGATTTCTTGCATTTGCAGAACATCTGTCCCTGTCCTGGCGCTTTCCTGGAAGATGCTGCAGCAAGTACAGGGAAAACAGATGGGGACTGTGAGTGGGAGGGTTGGAGAGCAGCAGCTCCATGTCCCCCTGGACACCTTCACAGGGGTGTCCTGCACCAACCCCTCCAGCCTGAGATGGGAGGGCAGGACATGAAGTTACTGCACCCATGAGGAAAGATAAAAGTTGAGCTGGCTTTAAAAAGCACCTGGAGAAACTCATGCAAGAAAAAGGCACCCCTGGGGAGCTGCTAAACCCTTCCAGCTTAGGGACCCCGGAGCTGGGCAGCACCTTGGGAAGGGACAGTGGTCACTTGTCACTTGTCCTGTTCTCCCAAAGGACCCCAAAAAGCAGCCAAAGGAGGTGCTGGGTTGCAGCTCTCTCGGGACCCCATTAACTCACTGTCAACTATTTCAGTTAACTTTGGGCATGTAAACCTAAAAAGGAAAAACTGGGAAGAAATTTATTTCTTGGGAAATAAAAATTTATTTATTGGGAAGAAATCACTTTTTTCTTTTGTTACAAACTGGGTGTGGGCCAAGTGGCCTGGTCCATGTTGGCCAAGTGGCCAAGGCCAGGCTGGATGTGGCTCTGCTTGATCTGGTGGAAGGTGTCCCTGCACATGGCAGGGGTTGGAAAAAAATGATCTTTAATGTCCTTTCCAACCCAAACCATTCTGGGATTCTGTTTTACCAACAACAGCATGCATTTCAAAATCATTTTTATTTCAAATGAAATATAAACCATAACTTTCTTGAAGTGCAATGTTTCCAGCAGGAGGGCTGCAGGTCAAATGCTTCGTTCAAAACAAACACTTCTGCTCTGTAATCACAGAATCATTAAGGTTGGAAAAGGCCTCTGAGATCATCAAGTCCAATTGTTGATGGCTGATCTCTTCCTTCTGCAGCCCCTGTTCTGCCTTTTCTAGGAAAGGAAAATTGCCATCGTTGAGGACAAAAATGGTGATTTGCCATTTCCAGGTGTTTCACCTCAGACTCAGGTGCCCACAGAGCAGGGGTTAAACATGTCCTGTGGGGAAAATGATTTTTGTTCCCATGTAGGAATCTGGAGATGGAGACCTGTGGATGGGATTCTCAGAGGCCACAAGACACCTTGTCCTCTCTGCTCCACGGAGCCCTCCTGGTTTTGTGCTGCTGCTGCTGGATCTGCTTTTGCAGGACAAACCTCTGCGAGCTGTTAATGTGCTACAAGCCACGAATGTTGTTTCCTTAAGGAACAGACTGCTGGGATTTGGAGCAGGGAATGAGGGCACCGGGGAGGGGGGAAACAGGAGTCAGTGGAGGCTCTGCTAGTGCGGAAAGGCCACAGGGACACAGGCAGTGGGTGTCCCGACACCTGCGTGCTCTCAAAGCAGGGCTCATTTTTGCCTTCTCTCCAAATCAAACGCGGAGTTCGTGCCTCTTTTTGGGTTTTTTTTGTCCGTTTGTTTTCCACGCGCGAGGGTTTTGCACAATGGCTTTCCGAGAAAGGAGACGCGAGACGCTCTTCTCCTCTTTCCTGGAACCGACGGATCCCGCCGCTCGCTTTTTGGGGGGTGCCGGGATGCGGGGCCAGCCCGGGATGCGGGTCCAGCCCGGGATGCGGGTCCAGCCTGGGATGCGGGACCCGGCGCGACATCCCCGCTCGAGCTGTGCCACCTCCTGGTGACACCGGGCGGTGCACGCGCCGAGCATCCCTGCATCCCTTCCCAAAAACTGGCCAACCCACAGATTTGCATCTCTAGGGTTGTTTTGGGGGTTGTTTTTTTGTTTTTTCTTTCTTTTTTTTTTTTTTCTCAAATTTTACGAGCCGGACCCCTTGTTCTGCAGCTCAGCGCTGCCGTCCGAAGGCTTTGCATCCACGCCGAGGATTCACGGATGGGAGGAGAGGTCAAAAAGCTGGATCATGGCTGATGTGGAAGTGGCTGGCAGCCACAGGAGTGCAGCAGCCACCACCGGCAGGGATGGCACTTCTTTCACGGTGAAACTCCGTTTGTTCAGTACGTGCAAAGACTTGCTCCAGGTTTGGGAGCAAACGGTTCCCAGGACTCCCCTTTGCCCAAGGGACATCTCAGGATCAAGTATATTGATGATACTGAAGAAAGAGAGAGGAGAAGTAAACAGGTGTTATTCCAATATATTCCTTTCTCTCCTCCAGGTGCCACCTTCATTGGCATGCCCATGCCAGGGGGCTTGGAACTAGATGACCCTTAAAGTCCCTTCCAACCCAAACCATTCCATGATTCTGTATGATGGAAAGGTAGCCCAGCACTTTTCTCTGCAGTTTGGGATGACAGATATCTGCAACCCTTAATCCCTGCTCAGCCAAGGTGTTTCTGGTCACTTGTGCCTCAGTGCTGTCAAATCAGACTCTCATTTTTTACGGTCTTAACACTCCACCTGGTCCTTCAGCAGCCATAAATCTGTGCCTCCTCTCTCCTTCGAGGGGCTGAGGATGCTCCCAGTTCAGGGCAAGAGGAAGCATTTAATTGATACGAAAAGAATAACAAGTGTGGGCACAGATCCGAACCCAGGATTTATTTAGGAAGATTTTCCGGTTATTATCTACTTAGGAACAGAGGATTTGTCAGAACAGATCAGAGCATTTTAATCAAATCTGGCATCCTGTATCTAGCAGAGATAGTGAGAGGGTGTTCCAGAGGGAAAACTCTCTCCAGCCTCTCCCAGAAGTGCAGGTACAGAGTCCAAAGTTGTGGGAAGGGGAGCAGAGGCAACACTGGGTAGAATCAGAACCAGCAGCACATGTCCAGTTCCTGCCAGACTGGAACCAGTAAAGGCAGCTTCATCCTGCCCTGAGCCTCAGCCTGAGCTGAGCCAGTGGAAGCAGAGGGTGGTGAGAGCTGCCCTTGGGCTACAGCACATAAACAGAAATCCTTCTCCAGCTGAGCCCCAACGCTGGCCACGTCCAGCTGGCTCAGCCAGAAGGACCCATCGGAGTCACATCTGGAGCCAGGCAGCACAAAATCCCCAGGCTCCACCAAGAAATACATTTTGGATATTCCCACTGGCGTTCCAGTAACCATAACATCATCTGAGACACTGAGTGCTTGGGAAATGTTTGGTTTAGGAGGCAGGGTAGGAGCTGCTACAAAAACAATCCCTGTTTTTAAAAAGAAAACATTCCCTTATAAACAAGAGGAGAAAAACCATGTGTGTGTGTGTATCCAAAGGAAAGAACCCTGGGAAATGCCCTTTCCCTTGCAGGATGGGGCTCTGGCAGGGCTGTGAACAGCTCCATGGCAGAGGGTGAGGGAGCACTGGGGCCGTGGTGGCCACATGAGTTGAGCTCCTCGATGCTGTTCTCACTTATAAATAGAAAGGCAGTTCATTATTATTATTATTATTATTATTATTATTATTATTATTATTATTATAGCTTGTTGAGTACACAAAACCTTCGCAAAAGAGCTGCTTTCCAGTTCAAGCAGAGGCCCTGGAGCAGAACATCACAAGAAGCACCTTGAGTCTTGGAGACGGGTCTGGGCTGGTCTGGGAATAAAGGGCTTCACTGGGGTTGGTGTAGTGGTGTAGTGGCACCCTAAGGATGGTCTGTCCTCACCCCACTCTGTGCATTCATGTTTCCTATTCCTGTGACAAGGCAGGGCATCAACAGAGCAACTTTTCTTGTGTTTTTTATCTCCAGCCCCTTCCCCAGGGACTCGGAGGACACAGCCAGCTCCTGCACTGTCACACCGTCCCCAAGCACGTGAAGAAGCTGTTTCCCACACCAGGTACAAGGACACCTTTTCATCACATCTTCAAGCTGCCCCAAAACCTCTGTGGGCTCACGGATGGGCACAGAAAGAGGAAGATGCTCACCTGGAACACACAGGAGGTGGGTCCGTTCTCCCGGCTCCGGCAGAAGGAACACCATCAGGAATGTCAGAAGGAACACCATCAGGAATGTCAGAAGGAACACCATCAGGAATGTCAGGGTGGCTTTGTGTGGGTGTGTCCCATATTGTCCTTCATGCCCAGCCCCTGCCAACCTTTTCCAAACTTCTCCTAGACAGCAGCACACAGGACTCTCAGCCACAAGATGATTTTTGGCCGTTTCTCTTAAAATCATGGAGGATGAGCTCTTCCAATGGAATTTTTCTCCTGAAAGATGCACATGGGCACATCATAGATTATCTTATCTTATCTAAGCTCCTCTGTACCCCCTAATCATAGAGCTCCTGCTTTAATATCTTATTTTTCTTGTCTGCCTCTCTGTTGAAAGCCACGTTTTTCTTTTATCTATACATTATACCTTCCAAAATATGTTCCTTAATCCACAAAACTGCACCCAGTAATGCCCAGAGATCCAGGACTGAAAGCATTTCCCTGGTGAACGTCCTTTACAGAGCCAGCAGTGTCAGAGGGAAAGGAAAACAACACACACATGATCAATATTTTTTAAAATAGGCTTTGAAAGCAAAGCATGAGAAGCCTCTATCTGGTTTTAATTTCAACAGAAAAAAAATATGGCTATTAAATATATGGTCATGTCATTCCACTGTAAGAACAAAGTGTAGATAAAACCTGCAGGCTTAATGAGGCTCAGGAAAAATCAAATTGAAAGCAAATCTTTGAAAATCTCTAGGTAATCTTTGTTCCATTTATCATGCTTTGGCAATCAGAAAGTAAAACCAGGCTTAACATAATGAGGAAAATCAAACAGGCTTCTTTTTTTTTTTTCTCTTTTTTCCCTGCTGCCCTAAAATCACAGAACATCATCATCACAGAAAGGGGAAAAAAGGAAGAACTCCTGCCCTCCTGCCAGTGCACGGGGAATCTAATTGCAAAGGTTTCTTCCTGCGTGTCTGAGGAGATGATGCAAGGCTGGAATTTTTTAATGGCAATATTTAAGCTCTCCCTGGCGACACAGAGCTAAAGCAGTGGTTCTCTCCTGAGCTGACAGATGTGGAGGGAACAACGGTTGTTAACAAGCTGAAAATGTGAAAAAGCCAAGAAAAAAAAAAAATTACTTGCCTTGGCATCTCCACCTGGGCAGGTCAGCAGCACAGCACCCACCCCGGCCAGGCTGGGGGGAGGCCGAGGGCAACAGTGGGTGGGTAACACTGATGAGGAAAAACCTGTGGGTTTGGGGTGGGAGGTGCTTTATCATTCCAGACCCCCTGAATCTTCCAAGCACTGGAAGGGGATCGTGCCATGCACCTCTGGAGCTGCCACGTTCCATCCTGGCCAAGCCCTGCTCCCCTTGCCCGGGTATTTTTGGGGTAGACATGGGTGAAGCCCAAGGCGTCGTAGCCAGGACTCCTGGTGAGTGCTGCCCCCAGCACTGGTCATCTCTGGGTTTCTTGGCCCAGTGGCAAGGGCTTTGAGCACAGAAGGGAAGCTGGTATTTGGGAATTAGGTCTCCAGAAGCCCCAGAAGGAACTGCTGGACTCTGGGATGGATGATCCCAGTTCTGACGCCGCAGCTCCTGCAGAGCTGGAGGTGGTACAAACCCAGATGGGGTGTAGGATGCCTTTTATCCCTGTCATCCCTTTGCCCCCACAGATTTCCCATCTAGACCCCTGAGATCTGCAAAACTGCAGCTGCAAAATAGACTCACAGCACCATCCTCTCCACCTGCCTCCACAGTCCCACTGCTCTGCCCCATCTTTTATTCCTCTGGGATGCAAAGGGTCATGCAGACACCACAAAGCCCTTGGGCTGGGGGCTGCTAATACACCTTGCCTGGCTCCTCCCTCCCCTCTGGGAGGGGATGTTGAAGCAGAACACGATGCTGTGGCTCACCCGTGGTCATGATGTCGTGGGTCAGGCAGGAGGTCCCTGTAAAGCTGGACACAAGTCACTGGGTGATCTCACCAGCTGCTGGTCTGGCCTTTTCCTCCACAGTTCCCTGATGCTCTCCTGGGAGACTAATTATGACAATCCCAAGCTGACTAAACCTGCAGCGATGTGATCTCTGCAAAGCACCGCCTGATCAAAGCACATAAAAAAATAAAACAGAGATATAAAACTGCCAGTTGCCCACAGAATCAAATAAAATTAGTTCAGCTCAGCCTCCCCCATCTTTCCTCGGTAATAAAACCACTCACTATGCAAATATGTAATTTCAGGTGTATAGGAAAGCAAGTCATCGAGCTCAGGGGTTGAGTGGGGCAGTGGGAGAGCTCTGCCTAGGAAGGGGTGTTCTGGGCTCTCTCATATCATATTTATATTATTTCTATGACCCATAAATAAAACAACAGCTCTCCACCAAGAGATAGGCAACAGGAGTAGATTGTGAGCTTTCTTGGAGCTGTGGTGGCCTCATGCAGCAGCCAAAAGTCTTCTCCTTCCCATCCAGTGGGTACCAGAGTCAGGGGATGCTTTTCCTTCACCAGCGCACATCCATCCTCACCCTCCTCATTCCTCACCACCTTGCAGGACTGTGGAAGGTCCAGAGCAGCTGCCAAGGGTTAATGTGCAAAATATCCTGTGTGAATCAGGCTGGTTAATGAGCATCTCTCCTGCAGGTGAAGACCTGTGATGAGAACACGCTCTGCCCCACTAATGCTGGGGCCAGAACAGCCCACCAAGGAGGGAGCTGGCAGGTGAAGTGAGACAATCGTCTCTCCTCAGCCGGATCGCAGCTCCAGCCAAGTTCATCTGCATTAATCTTATGCTCATTAAAATCAGTTGTTCTGTTTCTAATTCAACCAGTGCTGCCAAGCTCGAGAATTAAAAATTGATGAGCCAATGTCCCCGGAAAAAAAAAAAAAAGAAAAAAAAGAAAGTTCATCCTCTCTAGAGCAGAGCAGCGTGGATTTTTAAAACAATCATAAAAAATGCCTGGCTGCTCCTTTGTGCTTGATGCTTTCATGAGGGATGGGGAAATGTCCGAAAGATGAGGCTGTTACACAATTGGGTGACTCCAGAGGCTGCTGCTTCCTAGAGGCAGCCTCACAAATGGCCTCACTTGTGGGGAAAACCAAAGAACGGAGCCACACAGGACAGATGAGCTCTTTTGGTTCCTCTTCTCCTGCCTCAAAACCAGTGTGACTGCTGCAGTGACAGAGCCCACCCTGCAGAGCCTGGGCCAGGCTGTCCCCCGGGTTTTCCTGCAGTGAGGCCAGGAGCCTGGGAACGCTGTCAGCAGTTATTTTGCAGCACACAGAACTCTTGGCCACCCCGGGAGCCACCAGAGCAGCATCAGACCTACAGCAGAGACGCAGGACCTGGTGCAAACCCAGCTCTGAACAGTGGGAAAAGCCGAGGCACCACATCACACCAGGTCATGCTTTGGGTGGCCACCAGCACCCACTTCACCCCTCGTGCCACCTCTGTGCCAATCCAGCTTCCCAGCACCCATCCAGTTATTCCTGCCCTTGAAGCCTCCATGGGTAACAAGGACTGTCCAGGGTGCAGAGCAGCACCCAGGAGGAACATGTGAGTTAACAGGAAAAGTAAATAATGACTTTTTAATTGTGTGTGTGTGAGTGACAGACTAGACACGATTTCTAGCATGTTCCTAATTAAGGTCATCGATAACAATAGCTGGGGAGCTGCAGACAAAGGCACTAAACACTGTTTATTGGAAGCAGACGAGAACTTGGAAAGGACTCTCCAATAGCCAAAACTAATATTTCACAGAGAGCCAGAGCCTTCCCAGCCCACGAAAACACCCACAGTCTCCACTGGCCTTTGCTGACCCAGGCTGGAGTGATTATGCTGAGTTGTCTGGGTCTCTCTCCACAAAAGCTGATGTTTTTCCCCATAAAAAAAGCACCATGTTTACAAAGTAAAGTTCAAGTAGGAAAACACTGAGCCAGGCCAGTCCAACCCTGGGAATAGGTCAGGATTAAGAGTTTGTTTCCTGAAGAAGAAGGAGCATAAGTAAAGATGGGTTGTCAGTTATCACAGTTATTTATAGCAGGCATTAATTTCCTTCACGATCTAGATAAATACCCATTAGCTTTTGAGGTGATGAATCAAGTATTAATTAACCTGCTGGGGGAAAAAAAATAATGTGGATATTAATGTTTTAAAGGGAAGCTTCCAGCTGAGAAAAACAACAGAAGAGAATTAGTCTGAACTTTTCAAATAAAACCTTATTTTATTGGAAAGGAGCAATGGGCAAAGAATGAACCTTGGCCCTCAGATCCCACCTTCCCTCTGTCCCACTCAGGGACCAGCTGAGCCAGCTCTCCATTTTTTGGAGTTCCTGCAAAGCAGGGCTCAGCTTGAAGAAATACAGAATTAAGAAAGAAAAGAGAAATATTTCTAAAGGACGAGACTGTTTTCTCAGCAAAAAATGCCAAAATGAGATGTGACACCAAACTGGACAGCAAAAAGAACCCAATTTCCTGGTGGCACCGATACAAGACCTGCAAGACCACCACAGCATCCAGCTCCCTGGGACAGCCTGGCTGCATCCCTCCTCCTCCCTGCAGAGCAGGGCAGCTTCCAAGGGACGTAAATCAGAAGTTTGGATGATTATTTTGCAAACTGAGACACAGCCCTCCTGCAGTGAAGGGGGGCATGGTGCTCAGTGAGGCACAAAGTGTCCTAGATCAGATGTGGTCTTCAGAATCACCTTCCTTTGCCTGTGCTCCATCCCCACAAACCTCAAATCTTTAACACCTTCAAGCTCTTCCTTAATTTTGTTTTATATATGGGGGGGAAAAGCATATGCAGCCAGCCTGTTCCTGCCCATTTTTAGCTTTTTTCTTTCCCTCTGCATATTTCCCAGCTCTCTACCCACACATACCCACACTACAGACAAACCATCCTAAAAAAAAAATGGAAAGAGGTCTAAAAAAACAACCGTAATCCAGGGCGTCATCAACTTCCAGAAATGAAAACTGGCTTGTGAAACCACAACCTCTTTCTGTTGTTGTTGTTGTTATTTTTTATATGGGGATTTTTTTTTACAGTCTTTTACGATCTTGT